ATGTGCTACAGCACGTTTGTAAATTTACTCTTGTTGACAGAGTGATTGAGTGCAGGTTACCTGGAAACGTTAATGGTACTTTTATATTCGAGTGATGACATCTCGTATCTAAGAACTTTGATCTTCAAACCTATGTACATTGGGGCTCCTTAGCGTTTAGAAAAGCAATAAGAACTTTGGAAATACATTTTAATGTTTTATGGCTTATTCAAGTTCTTTCAAGTTGGATCTACTAAAACAGTATGAGACAAATTTTTTGAACTGGTTATTCATGAAGTTTTTGTATGTAATAACGTTTCTAAACACAAACCCAACAGAAGCAACAATAAGGTACATCATGAAATATGCAGTCTGACTTATGACTTGAAGACGTATCATTCAGGTTAATAAAAGCACTCAGAAAATTTCCATACTAGCATACTGAGGTTCTTAGAACAAATAAATTCCAGCCCTTGTTTTTTGTCTTTTTGGTATTAAATTCAATCCCTAGAATGAAGCACATTGGTATCCACTAGTGGGGAGAGGACCAAGAAAAAGGCTGTAGCCCCCCCAAAAGCCATGCTTTTGTCAGACATTACCTAAATTACACAGTTCTGTCAGGTTAGCTTTAGCAGCTGGAGGTGTCAACAGGCATTTTCTTCTGGACTTGGTTGTGCTAAAGGAGAAATTTACTGTTCTTCCTTTCCAATCTGCTGTCAACTATTCTTTGTGACCATTTCATCGCCCATGGAGCAGATGATGAGATTTCTTCCTAATTTGCTACAGGTTGGTAAAACACCCGTCTCATCCTTTTTCATCTTAGTACTGAAAATGGGCCAGGCTGGTGTGTTGCACTTGCTTGTGCAAGCGCGCTTGATCTCTGGAGCCGAGTCCTAGGGCCACTGCTCTCTTGTATTGCCAAGCCGTTGGTGATAGGCAGGCGCATGGTAACCTTCCACCACACTGCAGCATCTGTCCACATCTTAAGAGTGTGGAGAGGAAAATAAATGTGTATCCTGCTCAAAATCAGGGGGAGCAGCTGCGGCAACACATTTTTTGTCACCTTGTGTTGTTCAAGGAGGTGATAGAGGTGTGGCAGAAGGAAAAACCCCTTTTGCCAGCATGTGCTGTTCTGCTGTCTTGGCAGCATTGCAGGGGTAGGGGAAGAGCCTTAAAGTTGAAGCCAGAGTCTTTAGTGAATGCTCCCTAGTAATAAGGCCACTAGCTGTGGCTAGTAGGATGTTACTAGGGCAGTTTGTAACTTTGCTAAGCAGCTGTTTGGTAAAATACATGTTTGCACTCTGTTCTCTCATGTTTATGGCTTTGCAGAAGAGCTTTGACTTGGATGTTTCTCAGGTGTATCGTCAGCTCTGTGGACTTGACTGTGCGGGGAGGGGGAGGAGGTTTGCTGCTCACTTGTACCACATCTCAAGTTTTAATCTTATGCAAGGGATTTCTGTTGAACATACTTGTATTTGTGTACAGAAAATTGTGAATTCTCTTCTAAATGCACTTGATTAAATCTACTTTTAAAAATATTTGTATTCAAATTATATTTCCTCTTGATGTGAAAATAATAAAGCAACTGAGTTCATTCCTGGCTTCCCTACTGCATGAGATTGTAGGAAAAGGCATCGTATTGTGCTGGTGTGTCTGACCTGCATGTCAGTGTATTACTGTCTGAGCTTGATTGCTCAACTGAGGTTGCATGATTCTCTGTGTGTGTGTGTGTGTGTGTGCATTGATCAGACAAGGTGGGGCTGCAACCCTCTTGTGCTGTTGAATGGATGCAATTCTCTGTGGGCTGAGAAGCTACAAAAATGCAGTGATTTTGTACAGGAGGTCCTTGCCCATCAGATCAGAGTTGGGTTTTATGTGGGGACTGGTGGGATTTTTTTATGGGGTTCAAGTGGTTTTCTTGTCCTGTGTTTCTAACAGCATGAAGGGTAGCATTACAGTTGGGAGTAGCTCAAATCTTGCTGAATTTGAGCAGGATGGCAAAGGAGGGTGTTATCTACTGAAGGGCGTTTAACTGCATATTCACTGCACAACTGTGCACACCCCATGACTTTTGCCAGAAAGGGGAAGCTGATTCCTATCAATACGAGGAGCCCTTGCAAGACAAAGCACAGTCAGGAGCAGATGCTGCCTAAGGAGCTTGTGGGACCTTCCTCAAGAGCTGCTCCTGTGTAACAGGCACCTGGCTAACCTTTCAGCTTCACAAAGTACTTCCTGTTTTCATGGACTGGTTTGCATTCATAGCTGTAATTTTTCTTCTTCTTTTTTTTTTTTTTTTTTTTTTTTTTTTTTTTTTTCCCCTGAAAGCAAAGAGCAGGGAGCCACAAGGGAATTGTCCACTTCACCAATGGGAGGCAGAGTTGCTTAAGCAAGTTACAAGTGCAGATGTTGGTGGAAGCACCACTATGCCTTTAACATTTTTCCAGGGATTAGCTGTTCCTTTGCAGTGTGTTGGGTGTATACCATCTCCTGTTTATAGTAAGATTCCCAAGAGTCGCTTTGTTTGCATGTGTCTCTTGCTCCAGCGTGTTACAGGTAGTGTGTGATATTTCTTTTGGTGTTTTACAGGCTTGGAGAGGGTAGGGTTTAGATTTTGCTTTGGGTTTTTTTGCCCCTTCCTTTCAGCAATGATTTCCCCCTGTCCCCCATTCCTGGAGTGGCTGTTCAGTTTTTTTGTTGGAATGATGGAGAGGAGCTGTTCAGTATTTGTGTAGTCAGGAATAAACACTGCAGTAGAAATTGCCAACAAGGTTGTTTGAAGTCAACTCTTGATTTTGTGGGCTAATAGGAAGTATAATAAAGCAAGGAAAGCAAAACCACAGCTAATAGATTGTAGGCAAATCAGCAGTTAGAGGACTGTCCGAGGGGACAGGGGTCAGGGTTGTGGTCAGCTGGAGCACTGACCTGGATTGGCAAGTCCCGCAGGGAAGTGTACATGAACAACACAACACTTCCGAGCTGGCTGACACAGCCAGTTCAGGTGTGTCTGCACCGATGCACAATTAATTCACAGTCGAGGGAGCTGAGAGATGGTGGTAGTCAGCATGCAGCAAGCATCTACTGCACATCAGGAAACTTGCCACAACTCACAAAACCCTGGAACAAAGGTTGGTTCCTGCCAGCTAAGGATAAATGAGACTCGGTATCCCTATCTGTGCTGATGCTGGGGTGTCTGCTATTGCTGTCAGATCTTCATTTTTGTAATTATTCATAACATTTCTGGAAGTAAAGTCCAACAAGCAGTGCTAGGATTTGCCAAGCTTTGAAACTGTTTTGTTCTGCCTTGGTGTGTGACAATCCTGTCTCCACGTGCTGGGCTGGTGAAGGGTAGCGAATACAGCCCGGAAAGTTATGCCGGCGTTTGTCTGGGCTCACAGCATCTGGCACGGTCTAGCATGGAGGCGGTGGTCCAGGCACTCGGGCCTGCTTCCCATGACCTTTGCACCCCTCTGCACCACCCTCTGCACCACTTTCTGTGGGAAGGTGTGCCCTCTGCTTCTGTGCGTTGTGCTAGTGCAGGCTGTTGGTTTTCCTTTTGAGCACTCCCAATGCAGAAGCCTTTTCCTGG